CACGTGCTGCTACGGGCCCAGTAGCCGATTCAGACAGGGGGATGACCCCCCACCCCCAGCATGCCACGGAAAACCCAGGCCACCAGCACGGCTCGGGTTAAAAATAAAAGACGACGTGAAAGACATCGGTTTTAAGAAGAAACATTCAGTACCTTCGTCTTGAAACATTTTACGCCTATCCTAAAAACTGCATGACTTGGACCCAAATGCACAACCACGTTAACCATCTAAGAATAATGCAATGATAGAATTGCGACTCGAAGCATATCATTATTAGAAGGATGAAGAATAACCTGTTGCTCATTTCTATCAGAAATAGAAAAAATAAACCATTTTTTGGTTTATTTTTTCTATTTCTGATACAAATGAGCAACAGGTTATTCTTCATCCTTCTAATAATCTTATTAACCCGCGAGTTGGTGGGGGGGGGGGCGTTAAACGCCCCCACTTTTTTTCGCTGGGCCATAGCATAAAAACGGCGCGCCGCAGGCGCGCCAAATTTTGAGTACCTGTAGGAAATTGATTGAAGTTTATTGTGACAAAGTTTCAAAAAAAATCGGTCGGAAAACTTTTGAGATATCGCGGTTTTAGTGACGTCATGAATTTTGAGTTTTCGACCAAAAACGGCATATGTTCAAAAAATCATATAAAATCACAGAATAGACATACAGATGTGCCGTAAACGTCATTAGACTGCAAATACCACGAACAATCAAATGGCTATCTTCGATTATTGATTATCGTTCCGCATTTTCCAAAATCTCGAACTGAATCTCGGCAATTTATCGTGACTACTTCACGACCATGATACATGCATTTCTTAAATTCAACTTTTTGAGCCAAACACGTACACATATGATAAAATGAATGCCACCATCGTGTTCTACGCCCCAAATTACCAATAAAACATGTGTCACAGGCTGCGAATATCAGTTTTGATTTTCGGGGATATGTGCCTACCCGGTTGACCTGACCTTGACCCTGACCTTTGCTTGACTGACCCCTACATGGATCTGACACTCTTGTAGGCCTTATATGATGGATTGTGCACCGTTTTGACAGAGTTTATGACGAGAGGCGCCCATTGCGAAGTCCTGAAGTCCATGCTACTGAAAGCCCGATTTCAGGTGTTTGACCTTACCTTGACCCGACCTGTGTCCTCAAAATTCAGCTTTAAAGTACTCATCTGAAGCGTCTTGTCGCGTTCTTTCGTTTGCCGCCTCGTGCGTTTCGCTGCGCCTATTGGTTCTCGAGTTATCGGCTAGGGGCGTTTCAGCCCCCCCCCCCACGCGGTGGGTGGCGAAATACCCCAGCAACTGCCGGGTTAACAGTGCTCAGCACAACGTTCAAATACCTGAAATCGACGCATATCGGCACAAATCATCTGGTGACTAGAAATGTGGCAAACATGTGAAATGATGTTCGTCCCATTGAATAGTGTGAGTGTCAACATTATGAAATGATTAGGACAAGTTGCTGAATTTATTGAAGTGAATGATCCTACTGGGTCTAGCGTGACCCTCTCTCGCCAGTTACTAGCTGGCTGTATGTAGGCAGGGCTCTGTATACCAATGTAAGAACTAAATACAAGGATCAAAGTATGTGGAGCTCCCCGGCCGCGAACACGCCGCCACCGAGTTACGAGACGGATGCCGTATCCACTTAGGCGACACATTTTTGTGTGCGTTACCTGACTACTCTGAACCATTTTGGTTGCATACCGACAATAAGGTCAAATAATAAGATAGACGAAGGAAACTCCACGCAAAAATGATCTCGGATGTTTTTTTATGTGTAGAAACCTTATATGTTAGCTGATCTGCTTAGTGGCTTTTCTTAGAATGTCCTTGTGTCTTTATGTTATGTCTTTATGAGCAACAAACATATCGCTATTCTACCAATAAGTTCGTCGCCCGGCTAAATGAACAACGGCCATCACTGTTCCATCATTTAGCTCTGCGCAATGTATATGCATGAATTCGATAAACCATAAATCCATCGACAATCCGAATGAGATCAAGCAAGCTGTAGCCGGACCAGGATATTATCCAATAATGGGAACGGCAGCAGGGGTGGGAGGGATGACACGATCTGTTCCCGCATTACAATTTGCTTGCGGGTTTCCCCAGGAATAGCGCGGCGAACGCGGCCCTTGATTTGTTTGCGTGGCGCACTGCGCGTCGTGGCCAGTGATTCGGCGCTGAGATATCTGACACGTGGGCTATGCCAAAGGAAGGAGAGAGTAGGTGACAGAATAGATGATATTTATGATTATGTTATTATCCAAATGATTTGCCAATATGTTACTGACTTGTTACGTTACTGATTTAACCATTTATTTGCTTTATTTCTCATAATTTTGGCTGTGATAATCTATGCTTTATATGAATGAGCGTCATATTTGTATCAATTATCGTTTTTATGGACTGATTGTTATTTATGTGTATTTTTCAGTTATTACGTACATCAAAGAGGCGACAATAGATAAATCCTATCAAACGAATCTTTTGCCTGCCGTAACACGATCCCCTAACGTTTCGCTCCTGACTGGCAGAAAACCTGGGCTGAAAGGGTGTTGGCTGTCACGAAAATAAAAGCATGTTTAGTCCCAAAATGAACACTCCGTTATCAGTCTCACTTGAAGCCAAGCAAACACATACCGGGTGGCCCAAAAAAAAAACGTTCCCAACTTTGGAGGCCTATATCTCAAATTGGAGTGCAAATAACGAGCCAAAATTTTCATCAAGTTTGCATCACTTCTTTGCGCATTGGCATGCCAAATTGTAACACTGTACCATCATTTTCAAGCCAGCAATCTTATGTTGAATCAAGTAAGATGTTTTTGCTTTTTTTGCCGATGTTGAACGGAAGTGATGATGGGCTTAGACGTACCTACTACGTTAGAAAGAGATAGAAAAATAGAACACGTGAATGAAACCAGCACGTATGTTGTTATTTTAAATATTTTTTTTATCCCACTTATGTGCCAAATATTCAAATAATGAGCCAAAATGGTGTTATATGGATGCCATTCGTTTCAACGCTAAGTCCTGTTTCGAGCAGAAGGAGTGGCACGGTGCATGGGTTACTGCTCATCGCCCTCCCTTCAAGAAGATCAAACAGTAAATCGACCGAATAAAGAAAAAAGCTAGACATAATGTATCACCCTGAGGCCTGAGCCATCAATGAGTCTAGTTGCCAGTAGCAGTCATGGCTGCAGGCCGTGGTGCCGAGATGGAAGTGGCCCGTTCACTCACATTTTTTAGTAAACATCTGAGCAAAAAAGTAATTTTTACATGGCATGTTAGAAACACGAACCGTTTAACCCTCGCACGACCAGGCCATTTCTCATAACACGAACGACCAGGGGGGGGGGGGGGTTGTTACGACCCCCCCCCCCCTGGCGTTTCGAAACGGAAGGTCGTAGAGCTTAGCGGAAAAAACCAACGGATTGCTCTCAACGAGATCTCGCGATTGGTGATTGGTGGTATATTTTTTGGTCCTAGGTCAACATTTGACCTACTTTTGACCGGTCAAAGGTCAAATTTTCGGAAAAATAGACTTTTTCAAATTTTTCGTGGCGATTGCGGCAAAACGGTGGGAGATATCGACTTGAAACCTTCACTATCGTGTTCCTTGATCAATTCTCTATCGTTTGGTATGTATTTCGTTTCCCTAGCTCTAAAAATGGCGCGTTGGGAGCGCCGGAAGTCGGCAAGGTCACAGTCGGCGGCAGAAATTCGAAAAATCAAAATTTAAATTTTTGAAATCTGATTGTATTTTTGGATTTGGGATGTCCATTTGCTCCTTATAGAAGCTAATATTGCTGCATATTCCCATTGAGGTGACAAGAATTAGCAAAATAGTGGTTCGGGCGCTTTTCAAAAATAGTACCGGACGCTGTTCCTCTTGTGACGTCATAGCTCCGTGACCTGACCTGACCCGGTCAAGTTTCTTATACCATATGATAGCCAATACTTGCCCCAACATGCATGGGAAGTTTCATCACGATCCATCAACCGATGTCCGTACCACCGGCAGGAAACCTCGGGCGTTGGCACTCAGTTTGTGAAAATCCGGCCGGAGGCTGTTCCCTTTGTGACGTCATAACTCCGTGACCTGACATGACCCGGTCAAATTTTTTTTTATCAAAAGATGCGCAAGGTTTGCCCCATAAGGTACCCAAAATTTGGCGGCGCTGCGCGCCGCCGTTTTTGCACTATTTCCGAAAAACCTCAGGGGGGGGTTGATACAACCCCCCCCCCTAGGCGTTCTAGGGTTAAAAAGTAATTGACCGAATAACATAAAAATCATACCATTCACTGAAAATATATGCCGCATTGACTATTGGAAGTTTCAGTGTTGCATCTTTATCACTTTCTGAGAAATATTGATTCAAAGTTGGGAACGTTTTTTCTGGGCCACTCGGTATATATTCAGCAACATATGTGATGTGCACTATATATATTCCCTTGCTGAATATGACCCGACTTTAAGTAGTTTTATTTCAGCCTATAAAACATGAACAAGTCTCGTATAGTGAGCAGCAACCACAAATTAATGGTCTGAGTGATCTCGGGTTCGTTGAACCTGCCCGTAAATTTACAAACAGCTGTAAATGTTGAAATGAAGTTGCAGACTTGAATGTACCACTGACCATGTCAGGAATGTTACACGACCGAAAAGGCAGTTTTCATTTACGGAAGCGTCGATGGTCGATGCGACAAGATATAGTTTGTGACATTTTATAAAGAACAAAGGCAAATTGCGTGCACTTGCACATATTTTCAATTTAATCATGAGATGTAATATACAAATAAATCCTGCGACCCATCAGGCTATTGCGTAAAGAAAGTCAACCGAGACGCTTGCAAAGATTTCACTTCTTATTCCAGAAACGGATAGAAAAAGGTATAAATAGGCTGAAAACTGGGAGAGGAAGGCAGTTTCTGGAGACCTGTCGGCCAGTTTTGTGGCGGCTCGCTGCCGTCACCACTCACCTGTATCCAGCCTCCGTTTACGGTCACGCGCGGGCATCTCGAGTGGCCGCTCCGGAGAAGGTCGCAGTGCGGCACACGGCCCCCCGCATGGCCGACGGGCGGCTGGCGCGGAGAGATGGACGGGGCCCGGCGGGCGGCGCGCGGTGCCGCAGCGATCACTGCACCTCAGTCACTGACACGGAGTGGCGGCCGAGCACTCCTCCCGCCCTCCCGCCCGTCCTCAGAGGGCGTGTGCGCGCGGGTGTGGCGGACTGCGTGCGGAGGGTGGCCGGGGGTGTCACAGTGTAGGTGTGTGTGTGTATGTGTGTGAGTGTGAGTGTATGGATGCCGCTGTGCGGTCGCCGCTGGAGCCGCCTGCGCGGGGCAGTATTGAACCGGAGCCGGCCCGAGCTGCGCCGGCGGCGCTGCGCAGCGACACGTCACGTCGGTGCCACGGCCGCCCGGGGTCACGTCACGTCTCACAGGTCGCGTCTCGAGCTGGTCGTGGTGTCCCTCAGTCTCACTGTCCGCTGGTGGCGCAGGTACCGCGGCGGGACACTCGCCTGCGGCTGCGGCGCCCGTCGGCAGGAGGCGCGGTGCGCTGCGACCGCCCGAGTCCGTTCGATCGCGGCCCGCGCTCCGAGACTGGCGGTGTCTCCGCCCGCGGCGGCCCCTGGCGGCAGCGGCTGTACTGCCCCCGCCCCTCCCCCGGCGGTGCACCTGACCCCACCCCATCCCCCAGCGCACATGTGCGGTACCAAAGCCGACGACTGCTTCACTCCCGGGCAGGCGAAAATAAATACCGTCATATTCTATAGCAGCCGGACAGAGGCTGACAGCCAGGTCACGTCGAGACCGCTGCTGATTAGCCTCAATATGATGAACGTGAAAACTTATGACAATTCATAATCTAGCCGGCGCAGTTAGGCATCATACATAGCCTGTGCAGAACACGAGATCGGTAACCTACCTCGGACGTCTCACCATGTTTTCAAATAACAATATCTGATTGGTTACATGTGCTAGCGCAACGCTATATAAATCACCATGATCAAACGGACATTTCATATTTCTATTAGATAGTTGTTAACCCGCGCCCTGGTGTGGGTCTGAGCCACCTTCGCCCTGGTGGGGGGGGGCCAAAATGACCCCCCCGTCTAACTCGAAAACGAAGAGGGCTAGGAAGACGCGGAAAAAAGCAAACGAAAGCCCATAACAAGTACGTTCGAAAGTATTTCGGTCATTTTTTCGCTAAGGTCAATATTGAGGTCGCTAGAGGTCATCATAGGTCAAATTTCAGTGTTTTCGGTGTTGCCGGACATATTCCGCTGTAGCTCGGAAACTAGAAGAGCTAGAGAGCCGCGGAAAAAAGCAATCGATAGCTCTTTTCAAGCTCTTTCGCCAAGGTTTGTCAGATTTGACCTCAGCTCAACGGTTTGGCCTACAGAGGTCATGCAAGGTCAACTTGGCAAATTTTGTTGAAAATGTTTTTAACTATAGCATGCATTCACGAGAAAATAGAGAAACGATTCATGCACCATCGTGCTTGGCTCGTCGAGACGCGTCGAATGATATATAGCTTGACCTCGAAAGGTCATTTTGAAAATTTGACCTCAGGTCAAGGTCATGACCTTACCGAAATAGGTCATGCTGCATATCATTCGATCCGCATTGACGAGACAAACACGATAAACGTCGAACGGAGTCTCTATCTCTATTCAATAACAAGTAAGTGCAGAAAAACCGCTGGTGACCTCTGGTGACCAGGGAGATGACCTAGCGTGACCTCAGCGAGGTCACAAGCAAATGGTTTCACATGGGCTGTGATTTGCTGACCCAAGACACTTCAATAACGAAATATAGGATCAATCACGCCCGATTTAGCTGAAAAACAACTACTTTTCGATTCTCCCATTGACTTATAATGGGGAGCAGCGATGACCTGACCTGACCTTAGGTCACATTTATAAAAAATCCGAGATAGCCATTTTGTAGAGCTGGGTGACATCTTCAAGTACTGTAAATTTTACATCGATCGGATAAAAGCTGTGCCTTTGAGAGAGCTTTGAACTTTTTTAGAGGTGGTGTCAGTTTTGGTGACCTTGTGACCTGACCTGACCTGACCCGAACCCCCCAAAACAGGACATGATGTAAAAATGTTGAATAAACAGCTATACAAAGTTTCAGGGCGCTAACTCAAGTGGTTTCTGAGTTATCGCTGAAAAACCACAGGGGGGGGCCAAAATGGCCCCCCCCCACCAGGGCGAAGGTTAAAATAAAGTAGGCTGCATAAGAGCTCATAACGTTATGAATTCACCATAAAAGCGTCAATTTATTTGTTTTACATCCTTGAATCCTCATCAATCGTTACATGTTATTGAATATGCAATCGGCAAGCGCAACCTCCAAGCCACGGGCGTTTGGTACTTACGTTTATGTGAGGAAGTACAAAAAGATTATATGCAAAATAAGATAGCATTAATCAATTTCTCATTTAATTAAAAAAATATCCTGTAGTTCGCATCTAAATCTCTGCATGCGCGATGACATTTTCCCACTGGACCAGCGAGGCCTAATCTGCCGGCGCGGCCGCTAGATGTCTCTGGGTGTACAGCCTGAGTGGGTAGACTGTCCCGCCTGACACGTGAGAGAGGCCGTGACGGGACCAGGCGAACTGTGCAGGGGCTCCGCCACCGGAGTGGTCGCGAACTCGCGAGGCCCGGACCCCCAATAATTTCGTTTCCACATGGCAGCTGTGTGTATAAGGATGTGGATTTTTGGTCCGACCCCCTGCCCAATCCAAAACTGTGGAGGAGCCCCCGAGTTATCTTGAGAAATTCTTTTATCCGAGAGAAATTCTTGGAAGTTGGAAAGTCAGTCCCCAATAGGGATCTTGCATCTTTAAATGCCATCGAGCTGCGCTAATTTTTGTAGAAATTTTCGAAATAAAATACAATACCCTGTGATCTGGCCACCGGTTTTTACTACAAAGTGTTAGTCGGTCAGTATGTATTGGGATCATTCAGTAGTGACACCTTGCAGCGATCAGTGTGGACCGTGATGACCGTAGAAAACTGTGAAAACACATACAAAAGACAATTAACTCAATGCAGCTTACGATTCGCCCAAGGTCACTGGGGGGAACAGCCACAACAACACGTGAACTGCACATACCCAATAAACTGACAATTTAACAACGAAAATTATTTCTTAATCAGTCCGCAAGAGACAATTTCAGATAGGTAGCCAGCTGGCACTGTGAGACAAACGAATATGCATTTATGACAGAGCGAATAAGCATTACACGGTTTGTGTCAGTGTATGGCTACTCACTTCGTCCGGGACGATAGGCGACTTTAGTACAAATGTCAGTGACTCAGTATGGTGATACAGCCAACTGCACCGTCAGTATAGCCGGCAATAATATTTCGGCTTCAGTATCGGTCCAAGTGGCAATCACTGTTCAGCAAACCGTACTTCACTGCGCCCCGATCAGGACAGCTCTGATGCCGTTCAACATGCGTCACATATCATTACAAATCGTCTGGGGCGGTCACCTGAAAATAGCAAATGCAGTCGTTTAGACAAAGCAGCCCTCACTCAGGCTCTTGCATAACAAAACCTAAACAACCCGTAACGGCGGGAACATGGCTCCCCAAAATTAGGCACAGCTCTCCTAATTTTCCTTACGCACTGAGGCGGTTATGGGCCGCCGTCGCGCGGCAACGTCACATTGCGACGGGACGCGCGAACAACCGAATGTTCGTCAGTAGCCACAGGCGAGCCCACGTAACGCCGTACACTGTCGAGCGAGAAAGTAACGAAATATCACTTCTGACATAGCAATATGAAACACGGGCGCCGTCGTACTGCCATCCGCACAGCGGAGCACAATGCACCAAAGTTCAGACCGGGTATCAGCGCTCACAAGCGTCTCGGTCTTATCGGTCGCGCTCCGACCAAATCACGCTACTCAGCACAACGGCTCCCCGTCGCGGAATCTCCATCCCCGCTCTTCACGAGGAGAATCAGTTTGTGGACGGGTCTGTCATATTCACTGTTGCCAATGCGCACACGCACACTCCTCACTAGACCGTCGGCACCTGTGTGCGCGTCGACCACTCGTGCGAGCGGCCACCTGTTGCGTGGAGTGTCCTCGTCGACGACAATGACGATGTCGTCCTGACTGACGTTCGGCTCTGGATGATTCCACTTTCGTCGCTCCTGGAGAGACGGAAGGAACTCTCTCCGCCAGCGCTGCCAAAACTGATTGGCGAGGTACTGGACCCGGCGCCAGCGCTGTCTCCCGTAGATGTCAGGCCGGCAGAACTTCCCAGGGAGAGGGAGCACTACCTTTGACTTTAAGGTGAGCAGCTGGTCGGGAGTGATCGGCTCAACTACACTAGTGTCATTCATACTGACACAAGAGAGAGGGCGACTATTGGCTACTGCTTCCGCTTCCGTCAGTAGAGTTCTGAGCAGCTCGTCATCCAGCTGCTGACCGAGATCTTGAAGGAGACTGTTCAGCGCAGAGCGGACGGTGCGTATCTGCCGCTCCCACGCACCTCCCATGTGGCTGGCCTTGGGTGTGATGGGGTTGAACTGTACCCAATCACAGTTGTCCTTTAACAGAGTGCGCCGGATGTTGTCGTGGTCCATCTCAGACAAAGCAGCTTCTAGATGTCCTCTTCCTCCGATGAAGTTCGTACCTCGGTCGTGATACAGAGCTCGAACCTTTCCTCTTCGGCAGGTGAATCGGCGGTAGGCATTGATAAAAGCATCCGCCGTCATTGAGTTGAGGGTCTCTAGATGAATAGCCCGTGAACTTAGACATGTGAATAGGATCCCCCATCGTTTGACTTCACTGCGCCGTTCTCTGACGAAGAACGGTCCGAAGCAGTCAACACCTGAGTGGGTGAATGGCTCCGCTTCGTCTACACGCTCGCTGGGAAGATCTGCCATTTTCTGACTGCAAGGCGTTCCTCTCAGCCTCCTGCACTTGATGCAGTTCTTGATGTGACGGCCCACAGCCGATCTTCCTTTCACAATCCAGTATCCAGACATCCGGATTTCGCTCAGCGTCAGCTCCCTTCCTGAGTGACACGTCCTCTCGTGGTAGGCTGCAACGACAAGACGAGTCACGTGATGAACCTTTGGCAAGATCACTGGATGTACCACGTCGAAGGGCTGTCCACTCCTCTTCAGCCTTCCTCCGACGCGCAGGAGTCCGTCATCTGCAACGAAGGGATCCAGTCGGTACAGATGACTCCGTTTCTTCACTCGAACTTCAGTTGAGGGCTGAGGTATCGTCAGAGTCGCAACTTCGTCCCCAAACACCTGCTGCTGCACACTCTTCAGTATGACGAGCTCAGCTCTCTTCATCTCTTCTGCTCCAACTGGTGATTCTGTCAACGATGGAACAAGTTCAGCGTCACTGCTTTGACGTTTTTGTCTCACTCGCTCCAGCAGACGTCTCCCGTATCTGATACAGATCGCGATCGCTCGTCTTGCCCTGAACCAGCTAGAGAACACGACTAGCCGGTCAGACATGTTTGGAAAACCTTCGACCTGTTTGGAGCGCGTAGTCAGAACTGTTTTCTTCTTGACCTCCGGGTCGTCATCTTGGAGTTCAACGTGAGCTGCTTCATTCGGAAGTTCTCCTGCTTGAAGAAACTTCGGTCCACGCCACCAGAGATCACAGTCCTTGATGGCCGCTGCCTGCAGTCCACGGGAGGCCAGATCTGCTGGGTTTTCATCTGACTGTACATATCTCCACTGATCGGGAGTGGTGTGTTGTCGGATCTGCTGCACGCGGTTCGCGACAAACACGTGAAATCGCCGGGTTTCGTTGTGTATATATCCTAGAACGACCTGACTGTCCGTCCAGTAGTAGTGCTCGATGCCGGTGATGTCGAGCTCCTCTTGCAGAAAGCATCCAACTCTCACGGAGAGAGCGGCCGCCATCAGCTCCAGTCGAGGAATTGTAGTCGATCGCTTGGGAGTCACCTTTGACTTGCTCATCACAAGACACGTCGCAATCAGGTCGTGTTCGTCCTTCATACGGAGATAGGAGCACTGCCCGTATCCGACGGTACTGGCGTCAGAAAAATGATGCAGTTCGTACAGCTTCATCTTGCCGCCGCCAGGTTTGTAGCATCTTGGTATCGGTGTCTCTGAGAGAAGGAGCACGTCTCTCTTCCAATCCAACCAATGGGCCACCGTCTCTTCTGGGACAGCTTCATCCCAGCTGTATCCGTCGCAGCACAACTGCTTGATGATTCTCTTTCCCTCCAAGATCACTGGGGAGACGAGACCCAGTGGATCATACAGCGAAGAAACTGATGATAAAATCCCTCTTCTCGTCATCGGCTTGTCCGGAATCACAGCGTGAAAGCTCAGCGTGTCTTCCACCGTATCCCACTTGATACCCAGGGCCTGCTCGAACTGACCTGAGTGCTGGCGACCGACTTCCACCGATGGGTCGCACCCAGTGGCACCAGGCGATAGTGCTTTTAGCACCGACGGTTCGTTCGACACAAACTTGTGAAGCGTGAAACCGCCTTCTGCACACAGCTGGACAGTGTCACGGGCCAGCCGTATAGCAGCATCCGAGCTTTCCACGCTTGTGACGCCGTCATCAACGTAGAAGTTTCTACGTACAAACTCGGACGCTTCTCTTCCGTGTGTCGGTTCATACTTTTCTGCTATCATGTTCAGCGCGTACATCGCGCACGCAGGCGATGACACCGCACCAAACAGATGAGTGGTGACCCTGAACTCAGCTGGCTCTCGACTCGTGTCGCCCTGTTCCCACCACAGAAATCTCAACAGATTCCTGTGCTCCTTGCTGACACCAACCTGGTTAAACATCGCCTTGATGTCGCAGCTCAGAGCCACTCTTTCTTTCCGAAATCTCACCAGGATTCCTGCCAGACTGTTCACGTAGTCCGGGCCCTGGAGCAGCTCGTTGTTCAATGAAGCACCTTGATATTCCGCGCTGCAGTCATAAACTACACGTATCTTGTCCTTTCTCGGATGAACGACAGCGTGATGGGGAACGTACCAGGTCTTTCCCTCTTTGACGTCGTCGTCGTCTGGGACACATTCAGTGTATCCTGCTGCGAGCGACTCGTTCATGGAGTTCTCGTAGGCGTCCTTCAGACCAGGATCTTGGGCAAACCTTCTCTTCAGACTGTGTAGACGTTTTATGGCCAGGTACCTGTTGTCTGGAAATGTCACTTCTGGATCCTTCAGAGGCAGTGGTCCCTCAACATGACCATCCTCCCGCTGGTGGAACTGTTCCTTCATCACCTTCTGGAACTTCCGGTCGTCCTGAGAGACCTTCTTGTGAGCGCCTTCATCCAGAAAGTCCGCTTCCAGCATGCGTGCCACTTGCATCGGGCTCACTTCCTGCACACGCGTCTTGAACGCAAAGTGGCATACCGACACTTCATCTGGCCCTACGCGCGCACAGTGACACGTCGAAGTGATGTTGGGCCCGTGCGTAATACCCACGATGGTCCACCCCAGCTCCGTTCTCATTGCCCAGGGATCGTCACTGTCAACTGAAACCACCTCTTTCGGCTTCAATGCGCGTGCGCAGTTCACACCTATGAGCAGGCCAATTTCAGCTTCAGGGAAGTATGGGGGCAGTTCTTCCTCCAGATGAGCCAGATGCCTCCAGTTTCGAGCTGTTTCTCGCTTCGGTATCAGCCACCTTTCTGCCGGTATCTCATCACGAGAATACGTCGCAGGTAGCATGATACGGTCCGGTGCATTCAGTCCCTGAACTGACAGGTTTGTCACTCTCTTGGTCACAACTCTGGTCTTGCCCGCTATGGTGCTGAGCTGAAGAGTCACGTCTTCTCCTTGTCCAGAGACCTGTCTGAGCGTTGATTCTTGAATGAAACAGGCATCCGATTGAGGATCTAGCACAGCATAGACTGTCAGCTGTTGTGACGGTTCCAGCTCGTTGCGCAGAATGACCGGCACGATCATGGTGTGAGAGCATGGTGGCACGAACGAGGCGTTGCGTTCAGCTCCTTCACCTTCAACCGCAACCTTCAGGGACGTAGCTTGGGTCTGAGTACACCTGTTCGTGTGTGACTTGTATTGTCTTCTGTTGTCACCGACTGCTGCTGCCATCCTTTGTCCTGTCGACGCGCCTCGCGTTCCTGCCCTTGCGTCGTCATGGAGCAACGTCGGATGAGAGCGTCCACATCTGTCACAGCTTCGCCGACTTCGGCAGTCTCTCCAGATGTGCCCTCTGCACAAACACCCTCTGCACAGCCCAAGTCGTGTTACAGCGTCATGTCGCTCGGACACTGACATGTTCTTGAATGTCTGGCAGGATTCTACAGGATGCAGTGCCGAACAGATCCTGCAGAGTCTGGCAGTTCTGTCTGTCTGTCGTGCATTATCTGACTCTTGACGTGGTGCTGATGTCCTCCCATCGGACGAAACGGACGAGAAGAACGTGCGCTCGTTCTCCTTCCTGCGTTGGCCAGCATTGGTCGTTCGTCTTGTTCCACCAGCTTCGTCGGACCTGTCCAATACCGGGCCGCACGCCACTCTTGCTTCCTTGCTGAGGAAGTCCGCGAACTCTGCAAACGACGGATAGCCGGGAGAACAACCTTCTTGTGGCTCGTACAACCTGACGTCAACCACGCGTCTCCACCTGTCGACGATGTATCGTGGCAGTTTTTTGAGGATCACGTTGTTCTCATCATAGACCCCTTTAAACATGGACTGTGCACTGGCTTAGCCTAATCGACATTTGAGGCAAAATTTTACAAGCTTCTTAAATCACTTTAAATTGGTAGAATGGCCGCGAAAATTTATCTACAGATTCGTCTGGCCTTCATCTTTTGAATGAAAGTTCTATAATCATAAACAATTAAATATTTTTGGATAAAATTGATCTTTTGTAGACTCTGTTCTCTATCGCAACTGCAGGATTAAAATATGCAACCGAACGGAAGTGTCCCTTAAGACGACAAACGTGACGCGACATGCAGCGAAATTTTGGAAAATAAAATCTATCACATGGTTGTTATGCACATCGAAGGACATCTCCGTCCATCTTGCTGTCCATCTGTCAGTTTTTGAAGTGGTTTGGTAAGTTTATTCATGTTTTAATTGTTAACACTTCGCTGATATGTAGATTTAAGTAGGCATACATTTTTAAAATGGCACGTAAATGTGCTGCTCTTAAGTGTAGATCTGGTTATAAACAGAAAAAGTCTGTTTTCAAATTCCCTGTGGAGAAAACCCGTCGTCAGAAGTGGATAGAGGTACTAAAGCCCCTGAAGCCAATATCTCTGGACTACAGTGGAGTGTGAGCTGCATTTCTCGACGGAGAGTTTTTGCGAGGAAGCACTAACAGCCAGAAGAACTGACCGAAAAAATCTGCGTTTGAGACCAGATGCAATTCCAAGCATATATACGCTTCCCATCAAGTAAGTGCCTGACTATATATTTTTTTATGTGAGAAACTACCATTTCGTCAAAATATGTAAAGTAATCGTAACGAACTTCTCCAAGCCGTCCAGAGGACTCCGCCTCCCCGCGGTGGACGGTGGGGGGAAGGCCAGCCATGGCCGACCCCAGGCATGTGCGGCCCGCAAGCCGCACAAGCAAACCAAATGGAGTCCGAACTGCCCCCGACGTGCGGGATGCCGTGGTGCTGGTGCCCTGCGGCCCCGCCGTCTCGCAGCCGTTCCGGTGGTGTCGGGGGACTGGCAGCCCCCTGGTGCCGTCGTCACCCACCTACCAGACCACCATCATCTACACATCTCCGCGGGTTCGGGCGCGCCGTGTGGCACCGGCGTGGCCCGGCCCGCGTAGAAGTGAGGCCGGACACCCCCGTCGTGAGGCCCGACGGCGGGGGTCTGCGAGACCGTGGCCCGAGGGTGCCCCGGGGCGGCAACAGCCGGCGCGCCAAGAACCGGAGATACCGCCACAACTGCCAAGTCCGAAGCCGCCTGCTGTTGGTCAGCTGGAACGCGGAGGGAGTCCTCAACAAGACCGGAGAGCTCAGCCGCTGGCTGTCGGACATGAAGGTGGACGTGGTGGCACTTCAAGAGGCCCAGTTGGCGGGCGGAGCGCTGGCAGTGCCGGGATACCAGACGGCCGCGGTAACGCGGAGGGCCCGTGGCAGGCGAGGTGAGGGGTCGTTCCGAGGAGGAGACGTCGTTATCCTCGTCAGGAACGGCCTCAACTTCCAGACCATCCGGGAGTCGCCTCTCCAGCCGCAGGACGACACTACCGAGTGGTGCGCCATACGCGTCATCTTGAGCGCACCAAGACCAACCACCCAACTCAGACACCATCTCGACATCTACAACGTCTACCGCCCGCCCATCAGGACGTCCGCGACTGACGAGCGGGTGGACTTCTTCTCACTGGAGGCCTTCCCGACCCTGGGCAACGTCATCATCATGGGGAGACGTTAACGGTCACCACCCCGCCTGGGATGTTCATTGTTATAACCCAGACGAGGTCGGCCGACGCGTCTATGACTGGGTCAGCGAGAAGGACTGGCAGGTCCTCAACACCGGCGCATCGACAAGGAGCGGCTACGGAGAGGAGGCGCAGCACAGCACCCCGGACGTCGCGCTGGCACACAGCAACCTGGCGCGGCGCTGCACGTGGCAAGCCGGAACAGACCTAGGCAGCGATCATCTGCCTCAGGTCATCACGGCTGCTATCTCCGGCTCTCGCCCTCGCCGAATCAGGAAAGAGCGCTGGGCCTTCCACAAGGCCGACTGGGCTGGCTTTGCCGCTGCCTGTGAGGTGGCGGCTGGTGCCATGTCCGGGGAGGACTCTGTGGAGCGGCTCGCCACGGCCTTCAGCGGTGCCATCAGCGGAGCGAGCGGGAAATACATCCCGCGGGGCGCTCGCGCAGACCCGCAGCCGTGGGCTCTCGACGAGGAGCTGGTGCGAGCCGTGGCAGAGCGCCGGGCAGCGAGGACAGCCGTCCAGGTGGACCCGTCTCCGGAGAACCAGGCTCTCTGGAAGGAGAAAAAGCGGAGAGCTGCGGACGCTGAGGTGGAGGCCAGGCAGCGCTCGTTCCGCGAGTTCGCCTCGACAGAACTCAACCGACCGGCGGCACTCGGACATCCGGCTCCAGCCATCTGCCACTTGTCTCAAAATCACTGAGGACATATGCTCCATCTTCAGGTCCCTGAGAGTTGAGGCTAAAACCCGCGCCATTTTGTTTGGGTGCACAAACCCCAGGAGAGTGTTTAAGGAGATATCGCTGAACCTCTTGGAAGAAAAAAAAGGCTCCCAGCTGGAGTGCGCGGCTGGTCACAAACTCAGCAAACTCATCTTGCCCACCATGGCGGGGGCGCTGTTCAACGCTTGCATCTCCAATCATGCCAAGGACCTGAACAGCCTAGCACACGCCGAAAAGAGGCCAAAGCAAGCACAGGGACGCGCTGGTCGAAGAAACTCGGATTCCGACAAGATCCGAAAGCTGACTGGATCGAAATGAGTGAACATTTGAACGCCTACGTTCTCCGGTACCTGATCTCAGGTTCTCAGGTACATTCAGACTTCGGGTCAGAGTTGGGTGGGAAACTACTGAGAGAAGTAAATAGGAAGGCATGCATGTGTATTTTTGCACAATACAAAATAAACTACTCGCAGCATTATTTGATAGTTTTCGTTTGAAAGGTGGGGTGTTTAACTAAGCGTCAAGTTTCGAGGAAAACGCAACTTTATGCGGGAGTCGATCCCCGATCATTAAAGTGCAGGGGTCGCCCCCCTCGCCCTGACCTCTCCGTTGGCCATGTCCCTTAGAATAAGTTAGTTGCGTTTCTTTTAAAGCTATTGTGATTATGAAATATCTAAAGCGCAACAAAAAGCACCGAATCGAATGTAATGCTAGATTCATTGTTTACATAGGAGGCAAAATTTTGCCTCAAATGTCGATTAGGCTAAGCCAGTGCACAGTCCATGTTTAAAGGGGTCTATGTTCTCATCCACTGAGTCCAGTGAGGCCAGTCCACTCACATGTCTTGATGCTGTCTTACAGCTCTCGAGGTAGTCAGCTAGTTGTCTCAATGCTTTCCCGTCGCCGGGTCGAACTGCAGGCCACTCATGGATGCGCTTGCGGAAGGCATTGGCAGTTATGAAGGTGTTACCGTACCTATCATGGAGTTTCTTCTTGGCATTGTCGTATGCATCTGTAGTATTCAGGTGCAGCAGGCTTTCAATCATCGATCTGGCTTCTCCTCTTGTGTATCTGGACAGAAAGTGTAGACGCTCCTGCGGGCAGGCTGTCCTGTTCTCGATGTATGTTTCAAAGCTGTTCATCCACAGATGGTACCTCTCCTCTTCTCCAGAAAACACATCTGGCTCGATAGCTGGTAGACGGGCGCGCTTGCTCTGCTCCACCAGCAGCTCGGAGAGACCTTTCAACACATTTGTTGTGTTGTCGTCTTGATCTTGTTGGTCATGATCGGGAGGCTGGCCGCGTGGCTGAAAACTTGGTGCCTCCACATTCAAGCTACCTCCAGCAGGTCCAGTCGCTGCTGCTGCGTGCGACTCACTGGGAGGCATGCCAGGTGAGGTTAACATCGGTCTTGCTCCACTTGAGGGTCTCTGTTCATTACCCTCCTGAGACAGCATCCTCTGTTCTTCCAACACTGCTTGCTGTGCTTGTGGTTCATTTGGTGGGCCGTCTTCTGCAGCGCTGTCATCCAGTTCTCTTTCAAACCTTTCCTCCACGACTTCCTCTTGCATTTCTTGAACGGCCATCTGAGTCTCCAGCTCCAATGATTCCTGTTTCCACTCGAGCTCTTGGCGCTGTCTATCCAGATCCTGTTTTCTGTTCAACATCTTCAGCTTTGCTTGAATCTCGGCCTTGTTGTGTTCCGCCTGGATGCGCATCAGCTGGAGACCAGACTTGACTGACTTAGAGGAACCAGATTTTGTTGACACACCAGCGCGTGAGAGTGGTTTGACACTTGTTTTCTTCAGTGTGCTCTGGTACTCTTCAAGAGCAGTCTTAATCTGGTTCACAGTCTCCATGGTTTTCTTATGTGTCTCAGTGTGTCTCTGAAAGTCTTCTGGGGAGAGAAGATGCTGAAGATCTTGTTCCACCTGTCCCAGAGAAATGTAGGTGTGAATCTACTTAGCAACATCTTCTTCCATGATGCCCGGGAGTATCTCGACTGAAGTATCATCATGCCGCACAAGCTGCGAGCCGAGCTTCATCAGGTCCTGCAGCTCCCGTTTGAACGCCTTTGTTTTCAAGCTGGTCTGGTACTCTCTCCCAGCTTCAGTTGGAGTGATGGTCCTGCCTGACATCGACTTGTTGCCTGACATGTCCATCTTCTGACTCCGGCACAGGAAGCCTCCGACAGAAAAGAGTGAGAGAGATAACAACAAAGCTGCACTACTTGTAAGACCAGATGACATGAAGTTGTCGAGGTTTGTCAACTGTAGGAAATTAGGACATTCTATAATACAGGATATCTCAGTTAATATTGTTAGTCTCCTTGAAGAAAGAGCATATCAGTAGGGTCTATACTGTCCCGTGAAAAACCTCAGAAACTTATCTACTGTGGCCAATCGTCCTAATGGAATTTTCTACTGATCTGGCCACCGGTTTTTACTACAAAGTGTTAGTCGGTCAGTATGTATTGGGATCATTCAGTAGTGACACCTTGCAGCGATCAGTGTGGACCGTGATGACCGTAGAAAACTGTGAAAACACATACAAAAGACAATTAACTCAATGCAGCTTACGATTCGCCCAAGGTCACTGGGGGGAACAGCCACAACAACACGTGAACTGCACATACCCAATAAACTGACAATTTAACAACGAAAATTATTTCTTAATCAGTCCGCAAGAGACAATTTCAGATAGGTAGCCAGCTGGCACTGTGAGACAAACGAATATGCATTTATGACAGAGCGAATAAGCATTACACGGTTTGTGTCAGTGTATGGCTACTCACTTCGTCCGGGACGATAGGCGACTTTAGTACAAATGTCAGTGACTCAGTATGGTGATACAGCCAACTGCACCGTCAGTATAGCCGGCAATAATATTTCGGCTTCAGTATCGGTCCAAGTGGCAATCACTGTTCAGCAAACCGTACTTCACTGCGCCCCGATCAGGACAGCTCTGATGCCGTTCAACATGCGTCACATATCATTACAAATCGTCTGGGGCGGTCACCTGAAAATAGCAAATGCAGTCGTTTAGACAAAGCAGCCCTCACTCAGGCTCTTGCATAACAAAACCTAAACAACCCGTAACGGCGGGAACACCCTGGGCTCATTTTTCCGTCGCAAGTAGCACCGGCCTCCCGGAGCCATCTGCTGTCCAACCGCCCAGCCTCCAGTTCCCGGGTGTGTGGATGGGCACTATTGACGTCGCCAAATAAAGTTTTGCGTATAAGTGAACATAATGCAAAATAATCTTGCGTAGTATTCACTTTCAATATATATACCTATTACTGGCCTAGGTAATCCCAAAGACAAAACATACCTACCTACAGAGGTGAATAAAACTCAAAAGCTGTCACCTACGCGATGTCTAGCTGTCACGATTTTTTTACAAGTCATCTTGAAACAGTAGGTACCATATTTTTACATTTTCTCATCACCTTTGAAGGCATAACAAAATTGAAAGTGAGGCTAGAATGTTAGAAAGAAACTGACCTTTCAAATTTCGGCCTCTGGGCATTACAACGCATCAACACATTTCAGTGGCACAACAACAATAAATAAATCACTATCATCCAACTTACCTATAGGTCTGATCGACTTCCTAGCTCGTCCTGGCTTCCTGATCCAGTTCAATCAGAACTCACGAAAGGATTGTCACTGATTCACTTGCCTTTGCTGCAGTAGTCAGAACCAATTATCGACGCTCCTACCAAGTTTCTGGGACCGATGGTCATGGACCTCGCCCCAGTTGTGGCCCAGATGTGACGTCCCCCGTCCCAGTCGCCCGGTCCTCCCCTACTCCAGCGGCGGCCAAGGCCGCGCCGGTCCCCGCCACCGCTCAACCGGCGACGAGCGGGGACGAGCTGTCGCGCTGTCGCCGTTTTTCCTGCGTTGTCTATGGCGCTTCACAACGCACCGGCTGTCGCACCGGCGGGATTTTTCAGCCCCAGCTGTCTACAAAGAGATGACGCCGTTAAATTTTTGTGCCGTGGTCCGTAGTGGCCCTCTATGGGAAGACAGCTCTGATTTTAGCGGAAACGGCCTAGTTATCAATTTTAGATGCATCAACTGAAATGCTCGAATCTGTCTTTTTATTCCTATGGCTGTCACCTACGCACGCAGGCGAGTAGCAGGTTTTTTTCACCTCTGCCTACCTATCTAATGTCTAATAGTCATGCACCAAATCGGCACCCTCAAATAGGGAATGGTAAGGTTCGCCGGTCCACTTGGATAGAAACCGGCTATGTATCGCAAAACCAGCGCTGCCATCTCCTTCTTTACCTATAGGCTCCAGTTACTGGCACACGATAGAAAGGAAAGCCAGTGGGTTACAGCTGAGCCAGTGAGGTTCGTACATTTCCCGCCAGCCGTCGCCACCGTCCGGCGCCACTCGGTGTGGACCATTGGTCGGGCCACACCTGGCGCCATCTACGGCCCGACGTCAGAGCCACGGTCGACGGCAGACGAGAGTTCTTATTCCGGTCTTAGTCATGCTTCACATGTGTGATAGTGATTTACTAATTCTCTAACTCAAATAGCGCAAAAAAACTGCAAAGAAGGTCATGCTTATTTTCTTAGGACAAACAGCAAGTTGCGTTGGGAAGAGATACAGCTATTTTATATTTTGAATTGAAAATTAGAAAAAAGAACAAGATACATTAACCCGCGCCCGGCTGGGGGTCCTGGATTTCCACGCCCTGCTGGGGGGGGGTGTTTGAACACCCCCCCTTCTAACTCGGCTCCTGGGCCACGTAGCGATACGCGGAAGGCGGCGTTCGAAAGAGCGTCAAAAATAATGAGGAAATCACTTCGGTCAATTTTTTGGTCAGGTCAAAGGTCAGGTCACCAGAGGTCATTGAAGGCAAAATTTCGCCGATTTCCAGGTCGAATGTCGACAATTTCCAAGAAGCCAACGCATAACTCGGGAACCAATAGAGCTACAGCGCCGCGGAAAAGCGCATTCGATAGCCCTATTAACGCCCTTTCTGAGTAATTTTCTCAGATTTGACCTAGCTTCAACGGTTTTGCCTGCAGGGGGCAAAAACTGCAAAAATAGCCGATTTTTTCGGAAACAGTTTTTCTGCAATAACTTTTGACCCAAGCCTTGTACGAGCTTACTTTTACCGGCATCGTGTTCCTCTCGTCAAGACGCATCGAATGAACTATAACTTGACCTTGAAAGGTCAACTTGAAAATTTGACCTCAGGTCAAGGTCATGACCTGACCGGAAAGGGTCATGTTGCATATCAGTCGATCCGTATCGTCGAGCTGAACACATCTAAGGCATTTTCATCGCTCTAGCATGCCTCTATCAAAAGTTATTTGCGAAAAACTGTTAGATACCATTCGTGACCTAAGATGACCTCAGGGCATAAACAAGCGGGTCACGGACACCATTTTCATGTTCAGTGTGTCTAAACCACTTGTAATTCAGTGTTTGGGAGTGTTTATAATGTCTTTCGTCCAAAAGAGGCGCATTTCAATATTCTCCCATTGACTTATAATGGGGAGGTCGCAAAATTGACCTGACCTTAGGTCATCGATATCAAAATTCTGAGATATACATTTTGTACATGCTATTGCTCTTAGCAATCGCTGAAAGTTTCAAAGCGATCGGTCACTCGGTGTAGCTATGACAGACATTGAAACTTTTTATGAGGTGAGGTCACTTCAAGTGACCTGGTGACCTGACCTTGAATGACCTTGGTCTGAAATTTTCACAACATGTGTAGAATTGATGTATGATAAGGTGTACCAAAAACGGCGGCGCTCCGCGCCGCCGTTTTTGAGATATTCGCGAAAAGCCACAAGGGGGGGTGTTCAAACACCCCCCCCCAGCAGGGCGCGGGTTAACTACTAACTGTTCCCAATAACATCATGTTTACAGGTGTAACTTCACTAACAAAAAAAAAAACATCACGCATTTTCATGAGTGCATAAGGCGTTCTAAGGTAGACAAGACTGTCTAAAAAAAAAAAAACTCAAAGATGTTGCTGGAGGGTCCGAGCAGGTAAATAAAGTAAACAGTATTATCCCATGGCGAAAGGATGTGTTACACATTGGTTCACGTGTTATCTTGAAAAGTTTATCACTCGATGGATAACTGAGTTGTTAAACATGCGGGAGGGGTTTAACAAATTGTTAAACCCCTTGTTGTGACGTCACATTTCATACAGGGATGGGGTATTGAAATTAAATGTGTTAATTCATTTGAATAACCAAAACAAACATCGGTGATCCATCATATGACGATATGTATTTCAATCACATCGCATCACATTCAAAACATTCGAGTTGCAGGCTGAACAAGCATAACGCAAGCATACAACAAGCATAATGGTGACAGTTTTCAAAATCACTATTCAAATCACTCCACTCCTTGTTGTCTAGCGCCCTCGTAACTTATCAGTTACGACTGTACACATAGAATGTACAGCCATTGAAGTTCCCACTGAATCCGCTCGCACCAGTCGACATGCTCTGCGCGTGAACATCTTGCCCCCCATCCGCGCGAGACACAACTTCTGTCCTCTTGACTGGCCCAGCAGGATGGCTCTCTCCTGCGACCACAGCCGACATTCTCTTCTGCATTTTTTCATCGGCTTCGGCGTAGCTCGATAGAGAACTAACACTCTTATGTCCCGTAAGCTGCGCAATGAAATGCGGCGCCACTTGAGCGTCAAGAAGTCGTTTAACGCCGGTCTTGCGGCCGCTGTGGTTGGTAAACCTGTTTCCTTCTAAGCCCGCGTCAATCGCTGTCTCTTTCATCATCTTGCTGAGGCTGCCGTTGCCGAGCGGCTGGTTTTTATACCAGTCTTCTTTGCTCTGGTAGTTGATGGCTAGGTAGAACGCTGGGTGTTCTTTGTTGTGTCTCTTTTCTTCATATAGCTTGAAAAGAGCCACCGCACAGCTTTCGGAACACTGACCCTCACAAGTCCAGTATATCTTGGGGGTGAATGGGCGTCCCGGGCATGCACCTTTTCTCGTCTTAGTAGCTCGCTCCTGAAACTCGATGAAGGTCCCTTCAGACGATTCACCGAGCTTCACATCGCCCCATTGCATGTCACGGTGTTCTTACTTACTTACTCCTCGGCGGTAGCTTCACTGGCGGAGCGGGACCCGAAGATACGAGTCCATGCCGCCTCTGCGCCTCCCACCGACTGCACGTCGGCCAGTGTCCTGCGAGAGATGGTGCCGCAGGCCAGCTGACAGGCGAGTCTACCCACGGCGCCACGACGATGCGACTTGGCGACCCATCCTCGACGAAGGCCGCGCTCGACCATCCTCTCGACCTCCCGGCTTCCTCGGTGCAGTGCTTCTTGCGCTTCCGCTTCTCTTTGGTAGTCGTTCACGATGTGCCTGATGTCGGAGGCCGAGAGCACGATCCTGCTGGTTGCCGAGGAGCCCTCTCCCGCCAAGCGGTCGGCCTTTTCATTCATGGAGATCCCGGAGTGGCCAGGGCAGTAGAGCCAGGTTATCCTTTGGGGAACCTGTTGCCACTCGGGAGGCGACCAGCCAGTTTCCAGTTTCCGGAGGAGAGATTGTGAGTCGGTGGCGATGATTATGTGCTCCGCGTCTGGGGCGAGCTCGCGAGCGGCGCACAGGCCGAGGGTGACCGCCTCCATTTCCGCGCGCATGCTCGACAGGGTCAGTCGACATGCCCCGGATGTGCAGCGCGTCGACTCGCCGTACCTGAGGAAACAGCCCCAGCCGCTGCGAGGGGGGTCACGAGTGACCGATCCGTCGGTGGCGAGAACCAGAGTGGCAGTGTCCCGGTCGTGGATCTTGTCGAGAAGTTCCTCGAACGCCGCGTTGGCGACTCCAGGGGGCCACTCGCGGCATGATCTGTCAAGTGAGTGACAGGCCATGATATTCCAAGCGTCCGACACGCAGTCCGGAGTCGCTGCGAATTGAGGACACGCTCTCAAGCTGTGGCGCCCCTTGATGTCTCGCAGGGTCGCGCATGCCTGACGAATCCAGCCGCTCTTCTGAAGACGGCGCAGAGGGGCTCGGTCAGTCATGGACTGGACAGCGGTGCGGAGAGGGTGCCCCGGCGTTTCCAAGATCTTGGCGACGGCCGTCACCCTGAGTG